TGCCCAATTAAAATCAACAAGGCTACACGAGTGTCACTGAAGACACAGTTTGCAAACAAGGAGGCTGGGCAGCACTTTCACAGCTGGCATGACCACAGATACACTACCGGACAGTTTAAGTAAGGATCCAGCTTCACTGAAGTTGAGGACATATGTTCATTAGACATAAACAGAGCTAGTTTGAATTAAGAAAAAAAATCCGTTGAACTCTAGAAGAGTCAGACAATGGGCTGAAGGCTGGGCTCACTTAGGATGCTCTTTCTAGTGATACTTCCCATATAGTGCTTTTCACTCCTGAGAGGAACTGCATTTTATACACTGGCCTGCCTTCCCTCTGGTGTCCTGTAGGTCAGGTTGCTCTAATACTTCCTACAGTTAATGTCCTTTCCTCACTCCTGGACAGAGTCTTCTCATGAAAGAAATTATGCCAGGTTCAGCACAAAACTTTTGGTAAAGAACTAAACAAAAAGCTGGCAGTGGTTCCTGGGTTACACTTTCAGAAGGGTACATTTTGTTCTTGTTGGTGTCAGTCCAAAATAACATCAGTCTGAAGTTTACTGGAATTTATGCTGGCTTACATCATCGGAAGTGAAAGTGAACTAGTGTCAAGAGACAAGGACGAGATGTGCAGTTCGAATTCAAAAATCTCTCATAACCCATTTTACAAAGTGCAGCACTTCTGCTGGCAATACCCAGTTAATTTTAGTATATATTCTATTTCATCAGCATAGCAAAGTTGAAGCGCTAACTCTGATCTTAATCTGTTTGCAGAAGTCTTCTCAGTTTAAAAGCTTTCAGTCAAGATTTTATCAATATTTTTTATTTTAATAAAAAAGCTAACATGGCATTCAATTGATTTTTGTTTTATTTTAGCTAACTCAAGTAAAATCTACTTTATTTTTTTCTGCTTTGCAGTTTTCTGTACTATAAATTCATACTGATAAAGGAAGACACATGATATGAGTTCTGCAAATATTCACTTTTCTTTCATGGACATCTTTATGTTAGGCATATTGCTGTAAGAGGAGAATAATTTCCTATCCTGACATGTGTAATATGGAAGGTTTGTATTGTAATGTGGACTACAACTTTTTTTTTGTCCCCAGGAATAAGAAAAGAGACATGTAACAGTAATTTCTCACTAATAAGAACAGCTGAGATGCATTGAAGACCAGTCAGCCACAAAATAATTGCTTTAAACTTGCACCTGCTTTTTTGGGTTGTTTTTTTTTTATTTTTTGTTTTTAATTTAAAGAGGCAGATGCTAGGAGGTCAGGATGAGGTAAGGCATACTGAGGATAGCGAGATCCTAAATGCAGAGTGGGGCTATGCAATTGTCTCTTCTGGGACAGGTGAATACTTTTGAAAAATAACTTTTTGCACATCATTGCTATCTAACACTTTTTTTAACTGATGATTACAGCATGGAAATTTCTTTATCCTACTAACTTGAATCTCTTCTAGTTTTAAACAAATTTCCGACCATTAAACTAGGAGCATAAAAACCTTATGAACACAGAAGCTCCACTGCTCTGAATCCCTCCACTGTTTGAGAGAAACAGTTAGATTCAAAAAGTAATGACAGCTCTGAAAGGGGAAAAAGGTGGCATCTGTACCTGGTCAGCTGCTTACCAGAAAGGAAGTAAGACTTTTAAAGCCTGATTCTCATAAAATTTAAAGGAAATAAAAGGCAGAGTGGGCAGAGGCTCTTTCCATAATATCCAGCTTTGAAAACCTGATCTTCCTCACTTTACCAAGAAACAGCATCTGTTTGAAGGTCCTGAAGCAGTAGCATAAACTAGTCCTCTCCCAGAGCTGTCCCCAGTTCTCCAAGCATCCCAGCGGAAGTATGAAAGCCACTGTTGTGGGGATCTTCTCTGGAATCCTGAAAGGGAGTAGTCTGGGGGAGGTTGGACATCCTCTGCTCAGCACTCAGGAGGCCACCACTGGGGTACTGTGCCAGGTTTGGGGTACTCAGTATGAGAGAGGAATGGAGCAAATCCATGGGAGGCTCACTAAAATAGTTAGGGGGTTGGAGCACAAAACATCTGAAGAGAAGCCAAAGACACTGTGGGTGTTACAAGTGGAGAAGAGGAGGCTAAAGGGAAATCTAACAGCAGTCTTCAGCTACCTGATCAGGGCTTATAGAGAAGATTGAGCTCAACTCTTCTCAGAAGTGCACACCAAAAAGACAAGGGGCAATGTACACAAACCACAAGAACAACAACAACAAAATCCTTGTGAAGGTGGTCAAACACTGCAACACAGACTAGAGAGGTTGTGAAATCCTCTACCTCAGGCAGATTTGATATAACTTCGAGGTTAGCCCTCTTTCAAGTGGAGATTGGGACTAGATGATCTCTCAAGGTCATAAAATCACAGAATCATAGAATCTCTCAAGTTGGAAGGGACCCATAAGGATCATAGAGTCCAACTCCCTGCTCCTCACAGGACCACTTAAAACTAAACCATATGACTAAGAGCATCATCCAGGTGCTCCCTGAACTCTGACAGTCTTGGTGCCATGACCACTTCCCTGGAGAGCCTGTTCCAGTGATTGACCACATTGTCAGTGAAGAACCTTTTCCTAATGTCCAAGGAATGGTCCTTTCTAACCTCAGAAGTATGATCCTGCAGAACCCCCAGTGCTATGAATACATTTATAGGATCCACCATGCAAAGGCAGGGTAAAAACAGATGCTTAGGGATGAGTTTCTTGTATCTAAACTCTCAAGGAAACTCTGAATATGAAGGTGACTGGGACAAGAGAAATCAATGTACATCTCATGTACAGTGGCTTTTCAAACATGTTGTAAATATCAACAAAATATTTTTTTGGAAAACCCTCAAATTTTCCACTCCAGTGCAAGAAAATCTGCATCCACACTCCTCCTACAATATTTCTATGTGTACGCTGTTATGAAGAAATACACTTTTTGAATTAAAAAGGACCAAAAATATTTTACTCAGAAGCTTGTGACATCATTTTATTGTATTTTGTAGCGTTCTTTCCATGACATGCCTAATACAATATTTGTAACCATTACTAAAAGGATTGTATGAGGGCATTCACTGCACTTACAGCCAAATTTGATAACCAGTAAGCAAACAGGCAGCTACAGTTCTTATTGTCCTTTTTTTTTTCTTTTTTTTTTCTTTTTTTTTTAACTAATTGAGCATTTAATGTCCAAAATAGCAGCCCAGGATCAGAATAATCTTACTGTCCTTAACATTATTATGTTCTAGGTAAATATGGACATAGTCTAAATGAAGGATGGTGAAAACTTCATGGGTAAGTGGGAGTCCACAAGCGGTTTCATGGAACATTTCTATGTGCCTAACTACTGCACATTTTTGTAGCAACACTTGTCCTATCTAAATATGGATATAATTGTGCTTATAGTTGCTTTATTTCCCTAGTTTATTTGTAAAGGATATAACCCATAAAACTAAAACTGAGATTTGTGGGATATTTCTAAAATATGTGTCAAAAAGACTTTTGTAGGGGTCTGGGATCTGTTTTACCTTCTCCTTGCTTTATGTAGGTCACACGCAAGTTTTAGCCCTAGAACTGGAATAACTTCTCTAAATGACAGCATAAATGACAGCCATTTTAGTGCGGGCTTTTCCCAGAGGATATTAAAAAAACTCCTTGAATGAAAGCCCAATAATGCTAGATTACAAAATTACACATCCTGAGCCATTTTAACTTCCTACACAGAAAATTCTCTCCACCTCCCCCAAAAAAATACCTCAAAACAAACACCAGATGCAGATTAAATTTGCTAAACTTCTACAAATTACTGGCAATACTGGGACATTGACTAGGGTTTGCTATACTTTTAAACAACTGAACTTACATAGCTTTTTCTTTTCTTTCTCCCCTATTCAGGTACTTGTTTGCTGTATCTGACTGGATCATGACTAACAGAAATAAAACATTGTGCATTATATTTGAAAAAAAACTACACATACAATCTTAGATACCAAGAAATTTCCATATAACTTCTCTCCTGACACTCAAAACATCTATCATCGTTGTGCCTCACCTTAAAAAAGTTACACATCTTTTTCTGAGGCAAAATACAGTGGGGCTGAGAAAGGAGTACAGAGCAGTAGAAAAGACTCGCTGTTTACTAGTCTGGCAACTTCAGAGCTGACACTCCATTGCGAGGGTCAGTACAAGGTAGTTTAGCCATCTGAATGTGCTTTACAAATGAGAAAAAAATCCAGTTTGTAACTATTGAGAAATATGAGAAGATACTTAAAACACAGTAAAAAGTAAACATTCACTGGATTATTTTAAAGCATATTACTAGAACCAACAGGACATTAAACATGGATAAAGTATTATACATAAAAATGCATAGATGTACAGTAAATATGTTCATTTATATGTAGACAGAGTAATATGTACACATAGGGTCTGTTGTGCTTCTGTAAGTCTAAGCAGTAATTCCTGTGGTATATTGTCCTAAAGCAGTTCTATTATACAACTGTTTCAACGTAGCAGGTGTTGAGAACAACATACTTTAATGCTAAGTAGGTAAGTCATATTCATTTACTCTTGAAATGTACAAGTATAGGAAACAAAGGCCATAAATGCAATAGTACCTACACCTCCGAGACTTCCTTTTTTTTTTTTTTTTATTTAAATATGCACAAGTCCGCCTAATGGTGATACATAGGTTTCTTTCCTGCTTCCCTTCTGTGTCAACACGTTGACCAGGCACTCAGGACAAAATCTTTGATGCACTTCAGCACCACTTCCACTGATTCAACTCAGTGCGCTCCTGACCTTGAAGTCTTCAGGTCAAAAATGAGAAGAAAAAATAAAATAAAAAAAAATATAAATAAAACAAACAAGCTTGTGGGCTTTTTTCACAAGTTATTTGCCACCAATACTGTCAAAGCAGCTGAATCGTAGTGCATCCACAGGCAGGAGCATATAGCAGCTTTTGTGCACTTCGCAAAAAAATATATTAAGGAAAATCAAGTCTTTACTGGCTTGTTTTGTCTGTTGCTAAAAAGATGCTGTGCTGCTTCTGAGCCCTTTCCATCAAATTCTTTTTCTTCTTTTTCTTGTCCTTTGTTTTTGTTGGCCTTCTTCCTAAAAATAAGAAAGCCAATATCAATAAGTCATTTAAGTAAAGAACACAGCAGTGATATTAGACTGTCATCAAAAAACCCAGTGGCACAGAAATTATCGATGGGGACTGCAAAGGTAATGCTGGCTAATGAGCTTCAATCATCAGTGAAAACAGAAGTTTTCAGTGTGGTACAAGAGGAAGCAGGATCCTCAACTGCTATCACTTGTCCACAGGCACAGTTTTGCTAGTATGAGTAACCACGTTGATGTAGGTCTCACTTTCGGCAGGGTAACTCACGCAAGCAACGTTATGCAAGTGCCTGGGGCCCAGAGCCAAACAAGTACGTAGACTCCTAACTCACCGAAAGCTGGATACGTGCCTTAGACCATTGCGTAAATTTGCTTGAGTGAGTAATCCTATTTAAGTCAAGTCCAATATATCTGTGATTTCAATGAGAAATTAGGCATTACAGCCCAAGTATTTCATTGGATCACATCCTACATGCTTTGGCAGAAACAGTGCCGCCTCTGTGAAGAACTCCTATCATTGCTTACTAGCACACTGTGCCTAATTCTCACAGCATATTACTGTGCAGAAACAAAAATTTCATTACAGGCTTCTTACTATGGGAAGTTCACTGAAAAATAGCCAAAATCAGGAAATCAGGATCAATGCAGGAAAAAAAATTCTCAGGCTCCTGGGATGGGAAAGTTTTTTCCTGTTCAGCTCTAATAATAAATCAGTGCCCTTTGATTATCTCAGAAAAGATACCATGGACTGAAAAAATGCTAGATACAAAGGCCCTCATTCACCAATGCATTACCTTTTAAGCATATGCTTAAATCCTATCAAGTCTAGTAGGATTTAAAGAGATGACCGAAAGCTGTCTGGAGTGAGAACAGTCTGGGTTTTCTTGGCAGTGTCATATACTGAAGTACATGATCAATGGTAAAAAAAAGAAGGTTATTAATCTCCAGAGGTGCCAACTTCGTAAACTTCCAGGAAAACTAAAGGAACTTAAGAAGACAGTAAAAGGAAATTCAAGTAGCAGACAACATAAAAATGTGAAAATGCATTTTTCATCTACATTGTCAGTACATTATTAATTGGGAGAAATGTTTGCCAGTCTGGCTTTGTCCTACTTCCATATTGTTTCTTAATTAAAAAGGCCTAAACCAGTATGAAGTATTTTTCTCTATTTGATAATAACACTGAATAAATCTGATTCTAAAATTATCAAAATGTATCATTCATTACAAATATAAGGTTATTTACTTCAGATTACATGTTTGCAATATGCTGTCTAGGCTACTGTTCTCTAGGAATTATTGGAATACCTGTACATAAAATAGGACAGGACATTAAGGTAATGAGCACATGAGTTTAGTCCATATTAGAATCATAAGGGTCCTTAGAGTTTACTTCTGCTTCTCATTAAAGTCTGGTATTAATGCTACTATGGCATTTTGCCATTTTTAAATCTAGTTAATCCTACACAGTAAAACCTCAGTCCAACCAATCATTAAACAAAGCAGCTTTTAAGTTAAAACTCTTTAGTAACATGGTATCTAATGGCTAGGCACACCTAGCGAGGTCAGAGGGAAGGAATCCTTGACACAAAGTGGCATTACAACAAGATGGTTTGAATTATACAAATTTCCGTATCAAAACTTTATTACATGATTCTACCAGCTGGTATATTGTAAGGTATCAGAACTGGGATGAATGTACAGTTCAACACTGTATTCTAACTTGCACTTTAATTATACTAATTTTTTTAACCCTAATCTTCAAAATACTTATTAAGGAAGGAGTAGATGAGGGGAAAAAATTTGAAACGAGTGACCAGTGCTGCTGGTCAATTGATTCTCAGAAGATCGGCAAAATCAATTAGAGCTTTATTGGCGTTTTGCTATCCTGTTTGCTCAGCGATCTTACTTTCTGAGGTTTTTCACTGTACAGACCAATTAGTAAAAGAAATACAAACTCCAGTCAGTGCCTCATCTAGTTTTCTCTACGACCTCCTCCAGAGAACTAGAGTAAATGCTTACTGTAAGTTTAAGGTAGTGAAAGATCCTATTATTTTTCCTCTGAAAACTTTGAGATGCACAGATAAAATGACACACGACCCACTCAGTATCTCTGTTTAAGCTTTACAAAATAGCTCCTGTAACACAAGCATCAAATCAAATTGCCAGCACGCTCCCCATACAATAGCCTTAAAATAGAAATGAAGCGGACTAGATTACAGGGATTTGACCTGTCATTGCGCAGCAAGCGCATTACAGCGCTTCTGCTGCTCTGCAGCAATCATCCCTGTACCTGCTTTTGCCCCAAGGCACACCAAAGGCTAATTGCCTTCTTTTAGACATGCCATGGAGCAACAACCCATGCGGAGGCAGCACCCCTGAGCTGTTGATACCTGATAACTTGTCCTGCTAGTGAGCTCTTTGGCTGCTCACTATATTTCCAAGCGCCCTGTTGCATGGAGTAAGTTTCATTATTTTCAGGACAATATTAAACCACGTAGAGAAAATCCAGATGCCTGACGATGCTGAGTCCCAAATTCCAACTGCCATTTTAACTAGAAAACTGAATATAAGTGTATTTCTTGGCTAACTGTTGGTTCCCATATTGTTAGTAGAATACAACAGAGATTAGAGATTGACAAGAAAAAAGTGACTATAAAGACTAGAGAGTTCAAACAAAGTATGCTGCTGAAGTCCCCATGCATGAGAACTTTTATTAAATTCAGATTTCAATTACAGTGCTTATTTTGTATGCAGAAGCACAGTGAACAGAAGTAACTCCTGGCTATCTTGCTACAGATGTCATTTGAAGAATATGATGTTCATGGTACAGAAAGTAGATGCTCAAAGCGGATCTGGGAGCCAAACTCTCCCAGTTCCCCAACTGGAGGGCAGTGGGGCGAGGATGGTCAATGGAGGAGGTGTTCCCCCTGGTGGCAGTGGCTCCCTCCGCTCTGTGCCATGGGTTGGGTGTGGAGAACCTTGTCTGCCGGGACCCTTGCACAGTGTCCCCCACACTCGCCATGCTCCCCGCTCCCGAGAGCAAGAGCCCCAAGCTCTTGGGGGTCAGCCCCAAGCCCCTCTCTCTGTAGGAAGCATCAGGGCTCTGTCGCTCTTGGCTTTGCCGGGGCCATTGAAAAGGAGCAGATTTTAGCAATGGTGTGTTATAGTCCAGAACTCGCTGTTGCACACAGAAGGCAATTCCTGGCTGAAGCCAATGAGGAGGGAGAGCAAAAGGACTCTGTCTCTCCAGAGGGGTTTTACCGCTCTCAGTAACAGGTTAAAGTATTACTGCACAGGACAGAAAGTGACAATATCTGAGATATTGTCTGATCCACCTAGCCTACAAACCCCTCCTGATCAGAAACAGCACCCAAGCGAGCAATTCTCCAGCGCAGCCACCTGGGATCCGCAGCCAGCACTGCTCTAAGCAACATTACGTCCTTCTAGAGATAACTCGCCTGCTTGTCACCTGGCAGATGGCCACGCACCTTGCTTCTCCTTTCTAAGTTACAGGCATCCACATCAGGTCTGACCTTCAGTCTTTATTCTATGACTGCAGACAACCTATTTTTGAAAGCCTTTGGTGTTAACAGCAATGGGAGCAAATACAAATAATTGACGCAAAGAGCAGGATATCTGAGTACTGTTCAGGTTACTATATTCCTATTTTTATTTTGTTTGCCTTTTCCCTTGCATACTAACGAGCTAACTAACTTTTCCCTGAAAAGCATTTTTTATCTCTGCCTACAAAAGGCTCCTCAATCTTTATTATCAGAGTCAGCTCTGAAGATAATTTACAGAATTTTTTTAATACTCTGTAAAGTCATGTGTATACACTGAAATGCATAGGGCCTAAGAAAGATCTGAAATTTAGCTGGATTTGGTGTTCAATTACCTAGCAGATAAAAGCCTTAAAAGCTTATCTATCATTCTGTACCTCATATTTCTGCACAGGTTATTTTACAGAAGCAAGACTGGCAAAGCCATTCACTCAAACCCTTTGTTGCTGCTTTATAAATTACCAATGAGCAAGTCCTCATTTTCTGCTAAGTAACTTATCCCAATGGGTGGTACCTTTACAGTGTTATTCATTGAACTTTCATTTGGACCACTTGCTTATGGTAGGCAGATGGGCAACTAATATGCTATGCAATGAAATATCATTGTTAGCTAACAATGTACCATGACTTCTAATGATATGATAATATTCATAGGTAATGGTACAATAACATATAGGTAATAACTCAATTCGAACATGAATTCCTGAAAAAACATTATTTATGCTAATATAGACAGCAATTGTCCAGAGAGTAACAGCTACAAAAAAAATTATTTAACTTGGCTCTGGCTGGGTTATTTTTCTTCCTTTTTTGTTGTTTTTGTACCATTTATCAGTGTTGCTCCCTACAGCTGCTGCGTGCTGGTATATTAGAGACTTGTGCTCAGTTCTCTGGTTTGTCTCATACCCTGAGCTGAAAGGTGTTTGGAAATACTGCATGTTCCTTCAGGATGGCCCCACCTGGTCCATTTGGGATATGTGTTACTTGGTTCATAAGGAGCCTTCATCACCTTCTGTCAGCTGCAAAGGCAGCTTTCTCCAGGCAGAGTTTGGGCAGCAGGTTGATAACAGTCAGGGCACTCCTGATTCTCCAGAATTAAAATGCAGCCGATGTATTCACAGGGACTCCCAGCCATATTGCTTGAGAAGCTTGGCTCAGACAGGCAGCATCAGTTTAGTATCCAAACTGTCCTTCATCTGTTGTATAAAAACTGTTGTATGTGCTGCTCTTCTAACGAAACCCATCCATTGCTAGTTTCAGCAGATGGAGAAAACACAGTATACATCCACATGAGGGCAGCAGGGACTTAAATTTAAAATATCTAATAAAAGGGAAAAAAAGCAACAACTATCTGCAGCTTTACTTCATAGTGTAATTCCCCCACAACTTTTCAGCATTCTCACATACAAATTATTATTTTAGAGATAT